CTTCCTTCTCCCGCAAACGGAAGATGCATTCTGCATTGCTTTTCCCGAGATACAATACAGGGTAGTATAGTCCGAGGTGCGCGCGGTCGGAATCAGAGTTGGGAATCGGATAAAATAAAGGCGGGCATGCACCGACGAAATTCATGGTAGAGACGATGTTTGCTGGCGGTGATCACGCGATCTCGTAAAACCCGATGCGGTTCTATTCTCGTGCTTGTCACGCCATGTTGCATAGTCAGGCAGACATTCACCCTAATGCAGCAGAGTCGAGCGAATTTGAATAGTAAATTTCGCTTATGGCCGAACTTTCTGTCCCGACAACGCTCTGGCCCGCTAACTAAACCAATTACCGAACTTTTCGGATCCGACGAAATATTTATATCGTACGTTTTAGCAAATTTTCCACCGGTTATACATACCGCGCGCAATTGAGAGAGTTCTTTTCTTCTCGGTAGGGAGAGCTTTAACGAAAACTATCGTCACACTCGTTACTCTTCCGCGTATAATTTCAGCTACAAATGGCAATTGCGTGGCGAGTTTCCATGCGAAATTAAGAAAGAGATTACGCGAAAGGGGAAGAAAGGAGAAGAAGGGAGAAAGAAATGGGAAGAGTGGGGGAGAAGATTTAAAACTCGTTAACGTCCCCGTTTATCGGCGGACCAACCCCCTCGGGGCACGCACGACGAGCTGCATCGCAAAGTGCACGCGAGTGCATATGTTTTCGGCGTGCACATATTGTTGCGGCTACAAAAGAGAGCCACGCACGCATTACAGGGGCGGATCCAGGGCGTACACCCAGAAGACGGTCACGAATCATCGTTTACGATATTTCCACCGACGACGACGGGGCAGAGCGCGAATTGCTGTACTACTTTCCGACGACTGTAATCTTCAATTTCCGCATCGACGCGACGCCGGCCGTTCGCGGGCTTAAACGGATTTCGCTTCGACGAAATCGGGAAAGACGATAGTAAAAACGCTACGCGTTAAACGGCTCTCTCTCTCTCTCTCTCTCTCTCTCTCTCTCTCAACGTTCTAAAATAAAAGGACGCGAGACGTTACTGGCCCGTTAATGGCGAGGCGTGACGTTAAAATCATTTTGCGCGAAAATACAGTATGCCCTTTTAATCCGACCCTGACGAATGCGCCGCCGGTGGACCTCCGGGGCTGTGCGTGTTTACCGCGGGGAAACATCAAGCCCGCTGACACACGGTGAAATATGGGGTCGAAGCGGGTGTGGCAATTAAAGCACACGTGCGCGCGTGGGTGTGCATGCACATACGCAGGGGAGCGAACGTAC